AATTTTTTTTTTTTTTGTATATCAGATTTGGCTTTATGAAAATGAGTGGTTTCTTAATATTTTGATATAAAATATTAAGTAATTGTACTATAATATATCATAATTTATTTTTCATCTTAATTTAATGAAACATACAATACAAATTAACCTTAGCTTTCTATAGATAAGACTTTAATATCCTCTTGCCTGAGCTTTAACATATATTTATAGAATCTATGTATGAATGAAATATAATTATTGTTCATAAAATATTTTTTGTTTGTTATTATTATAAATGAATCACAAGCATAAGACCAATTAAAAATAACTTAAAGACCTAAACCATTTAAATAATAAAAAATAAAATAATTTATATCAGCTGAGGTTGCAATTCAATGCATGCTTCAAGTTTAGGGATACAAACATAATCTTTTCTATAGGGAGCTTGAAGATTTTTTTATCATGAAACTATTCAATATTTATGTCAATTTGAGCTTAAAGACGATTTTAAGTAGTATATAATGTTTTGTTGACTAAGACTGTATTGTCATTAACTTTCTTACTAACTCTAAAAATATATTAAAAAATATTGAATTTATGTCTATCTCTGAAGCCAGAATGTTAGAAAAAAAGTGAACCTCACTGTGAAAAAAACAACCAACTAATTAAAATTATATTATATTAACTCATTTATCAGCAAGCTTAAAAAAATAAGCGCATCGTTGTCATTTCCAAACACCTCCTTCATTTACTTTGTTATTATTCCTTATTTTACTTAAAGTACATGATTATTCACTTACCGACCTCTACTAAAAACCATGGAATCGTTTTTCATCTACATCTACTCTGAAAACACCTTATTATCTAAATCACTTTAAAATCCTTCATTTTTGAAAAAAAAAGTTTATAAAACTTTACCAACCAATCCAAAGAAAATATTTTTTTTATTTTTTTATTATTTTAATGGAATATACAACTGTATTACATAGAGAATACAATAAGTAAATGAGAAATTGGTAACATGGCATGTACAACATGAAGAGAAACTACCCATTGGTAGAACTCAAATTAAAGTTCTATATTAGAAGATCCCGAGGCCATCTTCTTTTCAGACGCCTCGGAGGGTTATCAGGGATCGAGGAGGAAGCAAGGTTTGAAACGAGAGGATTCGGATGGTTCTGAAGTTTGTTATGGAAGGAAAGGTATCTGGATTGGGCCAGATCGCAAACATATGGAACATTAAGGTCTTTATGGATGATTTTATTTATGACAAAGTAAGGAGCGTTGAGGATTTTACGAAGGATTTTGGATTGTAAGGATTGGATACGAGAGGAATTCGATGGTTTAGTGGAGCCCCAAAGCTCAATTCCGTAAGTCCAAATAGGCCTTATTATTGTCATATATACGAGTCGTTTATAATTGATTGAAAGCTTAGATCGTTTGTCTAGTAAGTGCTGCAGCCAAAGAAAATATAAAACATGAATATACTTTTATGTGAACTAATGAAAGTTATCCATAATCTCTTCTGAATGGATGGTAACTCAACAATTAAGAGACTAATGTTACTGACTAAAGAACTGTTAAAAGATTATTTTGTTTTTGTGGAGAGGAGAAAGAGAGGACCATGATGATAGGGTTTTGAAAAATAAATAATTGTTGATAGTAACTGTCTGTATTTTATTTTTACACAAGATAAGACTATAAAAAAGCAAAATAGGTTATAGTTTTCATCAGCAAAATTATCAATAATCCTCATGAAAATATAGTCATTACCTAAGATTTCATTGTTAAAGTAGCTAAGAAAAAATAATTTTGTTTATTATATCTATGTTATCTATAATGAATAATATTAAAACTACTTCAATAGAAAAATTAATTTTATCAGTGCATACTTTTTATAATTTAACATATTGTTAGACATTTCAAAGGTGCATTTAAGTACTACACATAATAAATTACCATTTATAGACATAGATATCATTTTTAATGATTTACAGAATATACATACATTAATAGAAAAAATATAAAATTTATTGAAGAATTATTTGTACTTATAATGTCTAATATTACTTTCTAAAGTATTTGGCACACTAAATTTTTGTGGGAAATTGACATTTTTTTTTCTCATTTGTATTGTAATTAAATATTTTTTCTTCACATTTTATTCTGTATATACATTTGAATTGAGAACTAACTTTTATACAACTATTGAAAAAGTTTACCTAAGTGTTAATATGAATTTCTGCCAAATCAAGAATAGGAAATTATAGTTTTAAATTTTATGAGAATTATAGTAATGTAGAGTATAGTATGTTTTATTTAATAATCTGTTGGATGATATGCTTTTTTCCTTAGAGTAAGAAAGTAAAATATAGTCTATTGTGTTCAGAAACTATTATTCCTAAAGGATAGAAATTAAAAGTTTATTATTCCCCATAACTTTATGTAAAATTATATGAATGATAATAAACTTAATAGCAATTGCCTATTAGTGTTTTCGTTGGAGTTGTATATTTTTTTGTATATTTAAATTAGACATTACAATTTTTCAAGTTTAATTTCTAATTTAGAATACAGAATTACAACATAATAAGGATTTATTTTTCCTAACTTAATTTAAGTTAACTTCGATACAAATTTCAACATAGATGTACATTTGATAAATGTTTTATAACTTGAAATGGTAAATATTTAAGTTCCACGACTCAAGATTATGCACTTTAAATAGCATTTCAATTCATTGAGTGAAAAATAAAATTTTTGTTAATTTTAGCTACATCAAAATGTATTTCTTGAAAAAAAAAAAGTCCTAATTCATAACAATGTCGTTTCAATAATTCATTAAACAATAATTTCGATAAATAATTAACTAATTTAACAATTTGATATTCTTCAATGGTGAAATCTATAAAAATTCAATTTAAAAAATGTTTTCAATTCAATTAATTATTACAGTCAGCAATTCTTCCAGAAATTTGAATGACTTTTTTAGTTTTTCTCATATCCATTCAGCTCATATTTGGTAAATATTTTTAGTTTTAATATCTCTATTCTTTTGTTTAAATACTAATTATAACTCAATATTTTTTTTTTTTAGACTAAAAGCTTGTTTTTATAATAAATAAATAAATTAATTCCTAATAAACACAGATTTTTATATCTTATGACATTAAACTTTTATGGTTTTCTTAAGGTCGGTTTACACTGGAGTTAACTGAATAACACGAATTATTAACATGTTAGGTTCTAATATCCTTAAATATTTTCTTCCATAAATGTCAATAACGTTTGCTATTAGGATTTTATTTCACTAAACAGTTTAATAAAAATGTTAATAGTAAGGTTAGAGATATTGTTATTAACATTACTGGTAACATTTCATTGTAGCTCGACCTTCATTCTAATGGACTACTAGATTAAGAATCAAGACACATTAAAAGCATGTAAATTACAATTAAAATTAATCTAATGAGTATAAACCAGATTAACATTGAGACCGAAAAAATATTTGTTGTTCTCATAGAGGTAAACTTACATATTTGAAAGATGTCTAGTATTTTCGAATCAGGATTGTCAAAAAATAAAAAATAAATTAATGTAAATTTTATTCATGATAATTAATGACTGCTTTAAATTATTTTTTAACTTATCGTTTTTAGTATTTCAATTGTTCATTGTTTATGAGAGCTCAAAATAACTTTGATTTTATTGCTTAAAAAGTTAAATATTATTTTTTGACTGTCTTTCACCTATTTACAGGTCTTAAGCTTTTCATTGTATGAAAATCTAATATTTGGCCATTAGTTTTTTTATTAAATAGTCCTATATGTTTCATTTAATTGAATTCATGCATCACTGCTAATTTCCATGATCATATCACACAGTTATACAAAACTAAATAATTTTTCCATCCTTTTTGTGGAAACTTATCATTAACATTCAAAAAATCTTTTTAAAAACTACTTCTCTCAAAGATAAAAAAATATAGACAGTTATAAAATAATAAAAATTAAATATAATATAACGATTAACCTATTATAAGATTGATTAAAAAATTTACAAATTTCACACAATTTGTGATATTTTAAATTGTGTTTATATTAATAAAATATTAGTTAAATTAATTTTTTTTTATTATAAAATTTTCGATCTTCACAAATATAGTATGGAGAAGAGTATAAAGAAAGACTTATTGAAAGATACCTATTTAATCTTATATACACCAAAATAAATACCATTCCTTAATTTTTCTCTTGGTTTGATTGGTTTCATAATGCATGACAGTAGGAGTAAAACATTTTTTTTTTTTTATAATATAACACTCATAAGTTGTGTTACAGAAATCATACCTCAAAAGACTTCAATAATAGTGTATAAATAATCTTTTGAAAAAAAAATATTAAAATATAACTCTTCTTAAATATTGGAATGGTAACTTTCAATGGAAATACTTATAAAAATATATTGTAATAAAATACAAATTACATTTTTGGCCAGAGAGCCTCACAGAATCTAAACTACAATGGACCCTTAAACAATACGTAAATGAGGATTTGGAAATTCGTCATAGAAATAATAAATAACCTAAGTGATATATTTCTTAAACAATCCTATTGATGGTAATAAATGCTTTTTTATATTTCCTCCATAAGTTCAATGAATATACAATTTTTCTTAGAATATAATAAGTTTAAAATTGCATCTAAAAACTAATCTAATAACTTAATTTGATCACATATAAAATCACAAGAGTTTTTAAAAATAAAATTTGAATCCTATCATCAGTAAATCACAGGTTAACAACACCCATTAAAAATATTTAAAAAAAAAAATTAATGCAACTGGCCAAGTTAAATGATTAAAACAAAAAAATGAATTTATCAATTAATAAAAGAAATTTATTGTATAAATAACTAATTAATACTTAGAAAACCCAAGATATTGTTTTGCAAAGAAATTTAATCATATTTGGCCAGAAATGGTACGCATATCTTTTGAATTAGTCAAAATTTTTAATTTATTCATTTTTTACTTTTCATTAATTGTTTATGCTTTAGTTTGAACCAAGCTATCTCAATGTGGAAAAAGCCCTCAGTAGCAAAGGACAAAATAGTAAATATGGTACAGGTTAAAATTGACCATAGCAAAAACAACATAGAAGTATAAGTCAGATAAATTGTTCCTAATATTAAACCAGTCCAAAAAATTACAGCTAAATGCAGTGTGTTACATATCGGCCTCGGCCAAACTGATTCATTTGGCTGAGGTATGAATTCGCCAGAGTTATAAAATCTTTGTAACGTGTCTTCTTTAGCTCGCCAAATTCTGTTCAACCATTCTTTTACTGATTCAAAACTGGATGGTAATTCATTTATGGAATACCTAAAACAATAATAAAAACAGAAATTAACACTGAGAAACAATAAACTATTATTTAGATTTTTCCAAAATAAAAGGTTGAATTATTTTTTAAAGAAGTAGATGGTGCATGTAATGGTCAATCAAAAAATAGCACCAGATAGTGGTAACTATTAATTAAACACCAACTTTTCAACTTACATTGTAGGTCACCATCAGGGCCGAAAAGAAAGTAAAACCAATGCAGGAATGTAAAAATGACAAACGTAAAAATTATTATTAAGAAAATTGCACATAATAAAGATTAAAAACAAAAAATAATAATATCTGATATAATAATTGGCATGAGAAAACAATATGGTCAACTGATCAATATATCAACCAAACAAAAGATAAAATATTCAAAAATAATAAGAAGAAAATAAACAGTAGAGGTGTTTGGGTTTTTTTTATTGGAATCTAAAGTGGACATCCACTATGTTCGCAAACCAATAGTGCTCCAAGCGTATAACAGTTTGTAGATAATACAGTGTACTCCGATGGCTGTTAGTTTTTGCCTGAACTCAGAAGGGAGTGGAGAAAGTTTGTGGATGGCATTCTGTCATATGGAGTGGACGGATGAAAAATGTCTTTTGTTTATCAAATCGCACCAAAAATATCAAATATTATGGAATCCTAGAGATTCAAATTATAAAAAAAAAAAATATGAAAGAGGATGCGTGGAAGTACATTGGAAGTGCTATGCAATTATCTACTGAAGTTTGTAAAAATAAGATGGTTATTCTTCTGCCAGGATTTGGAAGAGAGAAAATGAAAACTAAGAAGAGGTTAGCGTAAATAATTAATTAATAAGAAAAAGAAAAGGGTAAGGAATAAAAAAAACATTCATTTCTAAGTTTTGTACAGCAGTAAGTCATTTTTAGCTTTCTCTTCATAAAATTTTGTTTACCAAAAACGAGGTCTTCTACAATCTACCAAGTTATAGATAAAAATGTAGACTGCACTCATCACTAGCTCGGACGTCATGTTGTTCCTTCAACAATCACGTGAACACTGCGGAGCGCTTGTAGAGCACTCTGTGCTCACAAACCCTGTCCTCATAAATAGAGTTACAGGAGTGTGGAGCGCTGGTGGTTCGCGAACATAGTGGACACATGACTTAAAAGTTTGTGTTTAACGTTGGATGGAAAACTATCAGAAAGTAAATTTTTATAATATGTTAGGTATCAGTTTGATGATATTACAGGGATTTTATCAGGGTTAAAAACAAGAAACTGGTTATCAACGTATTTCTTAATAAAATCTCAATGTCATTTCCTAAAATTCTTGAAATCTTATTTCATTCTTTTCTTTTAATGGTTCCCTTTAACCCTCATTCTTTCATATAAAATGCAAACATTTCTTAAATCCACTATTCCTACTTTAAATCTAACTATCTTTATTCTAACAATTTTGTTTATCACCACAATATGTTATAAGCTATTTAAAGAGAATTCATAGCTTTTTAATCTGAGTGATATTTTTAGTTCTCTAATCAGCAGTTTGAAAATTTAATATTTTTTTCTGTTATCCACATAAGATAAAATGTAGTTGTCGGAGAGAAACGTGACAGCAAACTATATTTATTGAAAGTTGTGATTGAGTTTATGAAAACTGCAATATTCTTATGAGTCATAGCATCTTATGAAGCCTAAACCTTCCTCAGTAAATAGTCCACTAAAATGATTGTGCTCAAACAAACCTTTTAAGTAAAAGATAAATTATATATATATATTATGTATGTACCTCTTAATCATGAAATGAACTTTTTCTGGAAAAATGCCTTGCATTACATCTATCTCAGTTTCAGGCAATGTGTCAGGATAACCAATCGTCAGATCATAAACAGCATTTAGTTGCCCGACTAAAAAAAAGTATATATTATAAGTCCAAAATAAAAATTATACAAAGAATAAAAAAAAATAAATATATATTTTAAGACTAACTTGATTTCATTTTCTTAACAATGTAGGCAAAACCAGTTGTTTTGGGGTGTAAAACGTGAGTGTAATGTTGAAGATTATTTATATCTGCATAATGATTACTCCTTGCAATGCTTTTCTTTGTTAAATCTGTCCCTTCTGGGAATATTAAAACCTAAAACAAATTAAAAAAAATATGTTTAAAGTAATGAGATTTGTATATGTAATATAAAATTTAATTACTAATAATATCTAATATGAGATTCATGTAATATAAAATATTACTTAATGGGTTGATTAATATAAAAGTGAATGTACACAAACATACACACAATTTAATAGAGATACAATTCAATAAGTATTTACAAAATAATAGTTGATTAAAAAATAAAAATATAGCTAGAAAGAGAAAGAGAGAGAGAGAAGAGAAAGAAAAAAAAAAACACACATATATATATCATACATATAGTTTGAAACAATTTTTTTTTATGATGCAATGTTATACCTGGTAGGTATGATTGATATCTTGAAGATATTCCAACATATTAGATACTAAACGCTGATCATCCTCCCATCTCCTATGAATGTAGAAAAATCCTGCCATTTGCATAACCCAACCTATAAAATAAAATTAATCAGTAACATATTTGTTGTAAGAGGCAAATAAAACTAAATTAAATTTTAGATTAAACTAAATTAAACAACTAAAAAAAATTCCTTCATTTTTTTGTATCTTTTGTAGCCCTGATGAAGACCTACAAAGTGGGTCAAAACGTCAGCATAACGATTAAAATACTATTTTAACAATTTAGTATTTATTTGATCGCACCCCCCCTCGACCCCTCCCGACCAACTTTGTCTCATTTATCTGTTTTCTTCATTTGTGATTAATACATATTCTACAAAATTAAACCTCTAATCAGCCTGGAGAATATTGGAATTCATTGCTACGTAAACAAACATAGGGTAAATGTAACAAAAATAGACAGTTGGAAGATCAAACCAAACAAAATATGTATTTAGTAATCTAGTTTCTCAAAATAAAGTATAATTTTAAGGGCTGCTAAGAAATATCAGTTTTTGTAACTAATAGACAAATAGTATTATATATAAATAAACAAATACCAGCGTTAGAGATATATTTTTCCAATTTTAAGAAATAGGTTGTCTAAATAAAAAAAAAAAAATAAAAAATCTAGTAGTGAACATATGAGAAGCAAATAAGGGTCCACTTGCCAGACTTGGTTCCACACTTTTCCTGTACTGAAAGTATAATAAAAAAAAAAACTAAAAAAAAACAAACTACGTTGTGTTCTTTAGACCACACGACAGAAGTGAAAACATCAACAAGGCAAGATTAATAATATGAAATATAAACTATTTTTTGTTCTATATTCATTTTGATTGAAATCAATTTGTTAAATATCTAACAAAAACTCCTTATTTTTTTTAATATAACTTCTGTAATGGGAGTCAGTAATTAGTCGAAACTCAACAGTATGCAAGTCAGTTTTTTTTATTTCTCCGATATTTCAATCCATATGTTCAGCAAAACTCGTTGTCATTTGGATTTTGACACTATCATTTTCATTTTTTACCTTTTAATATACAATTTTGAATAACAGCTCATTGCAAAGAGGATGAAATGCTGAACATTTCCCTTGCTTACAGTTTCTGAGATATTTTAAACTAAATGCAAAATGCAAAAACACTTCAATTAGTCGACTTGAACCGACTTTACCTGGATGAGCGTGACAGATCAGTCTCATATCCTCAAAAAAAAAAAAAAAAAAAATGCCAAGCGCACCTAAAGTACTTCAAAAAATTACAAATTAATAAAAGAAATGGTAGTCAAGTAATACTAGAAATTATCGTCCGTAACAGATACCAAAGATGTCAACTTGTGCCTTAATCATACAATCATTCTGTACACTTTTGTTTCTTTGATAAATTAAAATATAGATATAAATATAATTTTTAAAAATACAAATTTTTGGGAAGTAATGAGAAAAAGCGTTTAAAAAACTGTAAGTTATAGTGAAGGTTATAGAGATTGTATCTTTACTGAGAAAACATAATGAAATGCTTAATGAAAGATGTTCAAGTAAATATAGGATGTCTAAAGTGTTTTACGCATAGATTACAGTATGATTTAGCTTTATTAATAGGCTAAAATCAATTTTTCTCATACACTTTGTATTCTTTTTTAAATTTCTAATAAGTGGTGGGACCTCTGGGTAATGCCCGGCACCTCTGGGCTAATGCCGGGGTTTCTCAGCCCTGAAGTTGGCACTCCTTACCATGAAACTAGACGAAGTAAAGAAGGGAATGGAAAGTGGGAATATACCTTCAAAACAATCAAAACTTCCTGGAAACTGCAAAATGAGCATTACTGGAAAAAAGCTACAATATCGCCGAATCCCAGATTGTGAGAGACATTGAATTGATTTAATTAATAGGAAAATTTAACATGAGAGGAAAAAAGAACTCTAGTTTCATCTTTTCAAACCAATGGTCTTCGAAATTGCAAGAAGCTCAGAAATAAAGTGTACTACACATCAACAGGTTAACTAGAAGTTACCAAGCATTCAAACCAGAATAAAAAATAAAAATAAATAAGAATAAAAAGAATCAAACCATGTCCATACGAAGTTGAGTAGGTTAAAAATGAAACTTTCATGGACTACTCCAAAATGGAGCTCATGCACCAAGCTACCCCTACAGAGACAAAAAAGTGAATGACCCGTGTGATCAAATATTCGTTTCCCAGTCAAATGTCTTATAAATTTTCATTTGAAGTATCGTTTCTCTACATTTTGGAAACTGACTTTGTTTTTGTCATGATTTGATCATTATTAACAAAGTTATGGGTGTTACTACAGTAAATTTGATTGCTTTTACCTAACTAATATCTGTTTTTCAAAATAACTAAAAAGCTATAGGCTAGAAGTAATGGCTCTAAAAGATTATATGGAAGAAATATCAAAAAAAGTTCCATAGAGCATTACGCCTTTGTCTTAGGCCTGCAAAAAAATTAAGCCCAAAATATAATGCTCATAGAACAAAAATTACGCAGTTTTGTCTCCTGAAAATTTTTAGTTTTTGTTCTTACAGACTTTTACAGTGTGGCTGTGGATGTGTTCATTTTAATTTATTTTAGAATTATTTCATAAAATAATGAAATTTTATTATTAAGATTATTGATTTTTTTTTTATATATTAGTATTCAATGAAAAAAAAATCTGCACATTTTTTTTTTATTTTTATTACCCATTACTGGGGTTAAAACATTTTAAGATACTATAGCTAGACTATCAACATATTTTGGGACATTGAATTGTTTTAGCGTTCTGATTAAGATTATTCAAGATTAGGGACCAATAAAGAAAATATACATCTTAATTATACATTTAAAAAGGTGGCATATCTTAATTAGGTGGTTTTTATTATAGTTAATTATTAGAAATAATTAATTTTTCTTAAACTTCTCATTATGAGTTTTCTTGAGAAGAAGCCGAAAAATTTTGATTTATTTATCATCATTGATTTTTATCATTTGGCTATCGGTGATTGTTTGTGAAATGACAAATTTTGGTCATGCAAACAAAAATGTGTCAAGAATTACCTGGTCCTGGAACTTCAAAGCAAATGGCATCTATTACCAGATCTGCAACACGGTTGTAGGAAAACAAGATATGGAAAATATGACTAAGATCCATATATACAACACATTCTATCTTCCAACACTACTGTACAGTAGTGAGAGCTGGGTCCTACTTGATAGGCATAAAGGTAGACATACTACTGCCGAAATGAAATATCTGAGAAGGGTAGCCGGCAGAACTAGAAGAAATCGCATCCAAAATGAATGGATTAAAGAAGATGTTAAAGGGCCACCAATTCTGGAAACCGTGGAAAAGAAAATGCTAAAATGGTTTGGCCATGTTATGAGAATGAACGAGGACAGAGAATCCAGAAAATTCCTTGAGGCAAGACCCAAAAAAAAAAATAGGCCAAGAGGACGTCTTCGGAAAACTTGGATTGATGAAATAACCAAGCTGGGACAGAAAAGAGGCGAGCAGTTGGGTTATATGAGGAGCCTGGCAAGGAACCGTGAGGACTGGCATAAATGGATCGAGACCTCTCCATGTTGAAAGGCACTAAGAAGGAAGACAAAGAAGAAGAAGTTTTTACCATACCTCATAATAATAATAACAATACCTGCTCCTGGAACTCTTTTAATGGGAGATTTGAGGATAAACTTCAGTCTGTGAGATGGAGGAGAGGTGCTGTAATACATTGCACCCCAAAGAAAATTCCAATCCAGCCTTGTTCTGTGGTTCATGATAAGTATTGAGTGTTCCCAAGGCCTAATTTTATCGCCACTTACAACAAATTCCGTCCCAAAGAGAATCTCCATTAGTGCCTGAAATGATAAAAACATATTATTAAATCATAGTATACTTCATTAATATAATTGGGATGAAAATTGTTATGGAAAATTGCTTTATTATTTATTAATTGTATAAATATGATATATATTATACTAATGTAGATAATTCATAAATCATAAATACATATAAAAAAAATATATTTGAATAAAAAAAAAACCAACTATAGAAATTTGGAAATTGCATCCACCTTAAGTGAATGGACTTCCATGTCTACTTAAACATCTTTGTAGATTGATAAAGAAATTGACATCTACCATTTGGTGTAATAGGCAGGTTCCTATCAATACATATTACGGCTTCAAGCAAATAGATTTCGGATGATCCAAACACGTAATCCTCGTTTCGCTTCGCTTAGTCAGGTAATAACAATAAAGGTGGCAACACTGGTTCAGACCAATGAGAAGCTTTGGGCATGTTTGGCTTGGTGTGTTCACCAGTAGCATCCATTAGAGCTACAGTGAATCTCGATTGCTTTTATTTTAATACCCCAAGATCCCATAATAAAAATTAATAAACAAAAATTATATGATCATCAAACAAGGAACAAAAATTATTTATGATCATTGAATGAAACCAAACACACTTTTTATGATAAATACATATTATTTAATCTTAGGTAATATTTAAAAGTAAATCTATTCACATGCATCCCCACATAGAAACATACACCTTTCTCTTGATTTCAACAATAATCTAGAACAATATTTGGCATAACTTTTTAGCTATTTAGTACATTAAATATAATGTTAAATGAAAATCTTTTCCCTGTAAAACTTTGAGGGAACATTTAGCTACACATCACCACCATGGTTATGTGTCACAATGCAATCAGATTGCAGTATGGTTCATCTCTTTGTAATCTTAGATTAGTTTTCTACTGTGGCTCACTATAATATTCGCCCTGCTACCAGTTTCCTAGCTAGCCACTCCCTGTGGGTCCCTTGCCAAGTAGCCCTCAAAAAGGTTGCTATATTCTTTATTATATTAATTTACACTATATCATAAATCATAAAATTGTAAATAAATATACTTACAACAGGATAAAGCTCCCAAATAGCAAATACTATATCCATAGCATGCCTATATAGACGGTTATCAATTAAAAGAAGAGGAAGCAAAGGGCAACATATGGTCAGGAAACCAGAAAATATGCTAGTATAAAACAAGAAACAATAAACAATTCCTCTCCATGCACTCCCCTTCATTGTAAGGCCTTAAAAAAGAGATAGAAGTATTATTAGACAACACACTTAAGGGCACCTTACAAATTGAAGATTAATGAATAAATATTAAATTTTTTCAATATATTGACAGTGTAAGGGGTACATTGTAACAATGTAAAACAAATTGACTGGAATCAAAGATCCATCTTCCCCTGTTAAAGATGAAGAAGGGTTCACCCTCCTCCCCCTAACAGGAATAATTTGAAAAAAATCAACAGCATTTCATGACATTTAAATTTACTCTAAATCTCATTAATTCAGCTATTGATTTTGCATTTTAGTAATAAGTTCTATGTTCAAAAGCGATTTTGTATACATTATTTAAATAATAAAAATTTATTTTCATTTCAAAACTGTTACTTAAATTTCAGGCTTTCAGAAAACAAGAACATAAACAAATTGAAACAAGAAACCTCTGAATTTCTCAAAATAAAATAAACTCTACACATACACAACAAAGAAACAAGGTAGTTTTAGAAGAAAGTAAGATCGTATCTGATGTAATATTGGCAAAATATTGTTGGAAGGTGTAAGACCCCTTCAATGTGTTATTTTTAATTAAATTGCTTCAATAGTATTGAAAATTCAAAGGTCCGTTTAGACTAAGAAATATAAATAAAATGTCAAAATAAATCATTCAGGTATTCATTATGAGTGTTAAATATATTTAAATTCTTTGTATATTTAGTATGTTGACAGTAACAGGAATATGTTGTAATATGATGTCCACAAGTTTTGAAAATTAAGAAAATTGCCTTATTTCTCTATGAACTAAAATTTATATTAAATATTTAATATAATATGATATGTAACATATTAATATTGTTAATGCAAAAGGTTGTATATAAAAATTGAGTTTTTTCACTGAAGAGCATAAAAACCGGTTACTCCTTTATGATTTATTAATATAATTATATATTTTATCTCCCTCTGCTGTTTTTCTATTTATCAGATTACTTGCAGCAGTTGTAAACTACAAAATGTCACCTTCAGGGCAAAGAGAATAAATATGTAAAATTGTTACAAACGATCTTTTGCATTAACAGTAGTGATGTATGCTTACTAATGATTGTACGAGGTAGATTAATATTAATAAAATGCAAAAAAAAAAATCCATTTCTGTCAACATTGAAGGTTACAACATATTGCTTTGTCACAGTCAATATATTACAGTAAAATTTAATGATGAATGCAACAGAATATTTTCTGTTTTATAATATTGAAATTCAGAGGATTTGAAATTATGGGTGTATGGTAGACAGTTAAATAATCTTAATTTTGGTATTTTAAACCAGTCTGATACGTTTCGATTAAATTAGTAACTCAGTTATTTCTAATATGTTAATTAGAACCTAACTGTAGCTTTCTGTTTATTATTGTCATTTTAAATAAAAAATAATTCAATTCCTCTACTATTTATATCTACAATTCCTATACTATTTATTTTATAATTGAAAATATATTTAATGCTGCTATATTCGACATAAGCTATGGTAAGTTTTTTTTTCTATAAAATATAAGTAAGTTTTAAATTTATAATTTTTAAATGAATAATGAGAATTATTCTTTTAACAAATATTGTTTTAGCACTTTTATTTAGTAAGCTACAGGGATTTAAAGCAAAAAGTATTTAAAAAAAAAATAAACAGGTATTTAAAGAGAAACTACGTGATAATAAAATTTGATAGTGTATTTTATATTCAATTTGAATATTTTTCTTTATATGGTGATAAATTTCAACTTATTCCAACTGATTTATTTTAAAGCTTTTATAATACATTGAATGAATTATATTCATTATTTTTATTTATTGAATGTTTAAATCTCACTGGAATTATTTATAAGTGATAAATGTGAGTATACAATGGATACAAACCAATAATAACAATAAATAACAAATGTGTATAAAATGGATTAGATTTTCAATTTATTACTGATTAAGATAAAATTTAAATATTTAGAAAATATAATTTTTAAATACATTAATGGAAAATCTGATTGTTTTTTTATTAATACATACTACAGATAATTAAAACATATTTCATGATTTTTCAAATTTCTGGACATAAAATAAACTGATTACATTTTAATTTACATTTTAATAAATTAATGGTGAAACAAAATTTGTTTACTATTTCAAAATAAAATAATGAAACTTATTTATTAGATTCATATAAATTTTAAATTAAACCCAATTCTTTATTGGCTAATCTTAAATAAAATTAGATATTTTTTAATCAATTGATTATATATATCAAAAGTTTTTTTTTTTTGTCAAACAAAACAAACACTACAGGTAATGTACAATAATACAATAAGATGTGACTAGATACCTGAATCGTTAGCTCTACAGGGCTGTATCAGTTTAGAAGCAAGGATAACCGAGAAGCAGGCTTGTTTCTAAAATTTCATTCTATCATAAAATCCATTATTTCATTAAGTAGTTATCTACTTATTTTCATGATTCCACTCAGCACGGGCAATTTCAACATCCCTTGCTGATGATATTTTCCACTTCATGTTGAATTAATAAACAATAAATATAAAAATTAAATGTTGTAAAGTGGCAAACAAAAAGTGCACTCAAATGACAGAACCTAACTGAGAGAAGACATGTGATACTGAGCTGTGTACCTTATTGATCCAGCAGCATCCCCCTACTCACTCTCTCTCTCACTCCTCTCTGCAAGCTCTGGTATTGGTCAAATTCAAACTCCTTTCCTCACAATGTTTCAAGCCTTGGAAGTGTTGATCTGATAATTCAATACTCAACCTCCTTTGGAGGAATTACTTTTCCTTCATTTTAAAGGCTTCCTCAATTGGATCAAGCTGTATATATACTTTGCACACTGACCAATATTTTTTTTAACAATACTCCTCATGAAATTATGACAGAATAAGCTTTTATAATAGTTAAACACATATATGAATATAAATAAATGAAAATGAGCATTATTTTTGAACTGTGATATTAACTTTAATATAATGTTGCATACAAGGTCAAAAACAATTATGCAATCCTTTATTAAAACCATAACTGAAATATAATCCAGTCACAAATCATTCTTTGAAAAATAAGAAGACATATAATTTAATACAAATTTATTTTAATAAGTCCAGCAAATAAAAATTTCAGAAAATCTTTTTTAATTTTACAAATGCAGTGAGTATACCTACCTTTTTGTTTTGTCAAATTATAATTATAATCTCTCCTAAGCAGAAAATAGTAAAAAAAATATATATATTATTGTTATAAATAGATACTACATTTATAACTATATATAAAGTAAAAATAAAATAAAATTTAGAATTGAAAATAATTAATAACCATGAAAGTAAATAAAATTGTTATGAAATCATAATGGTTTATTATATGATTGTTTTGTTTTAATTTTTAAGAAAAAAATGTTCATTTTTTAAAATCATGTATTGTTAAAAAAAACATGTAATGAAAATAACAAAATTATGTTTTTCTCAATATATTTTGATGTAATGTTAAGTATAAATTGATATTTACTGAGTTAAAAATAATAATAATAAAATAAAGTATGTATTAAATTGTAAAACATTGAAAATAAAGAAAATCATAAATTTCTTTGAAAAAATATAATACAATTATTTAAAAAAAACTTTATAATGAACTTTGTTCAAAATTTTTGACTGTTTTTTTTTTTAAATTGAAAATTTAATAAAGTGAAAAAATAAAGAAATATAGAAATGACAACTGTTCCTCAAACTTGAAAAAAATTTTGGTCTCAAAAAACAAAATCTTATAAAACTTTGTTCAATTATATAAAGAAGATACTTGGGGAAATGGTCATTCTCTGTAGTAAGACCTCAGTTAATCAGCCACCTGTGGTCTGTGATGTTGACTGGTTTTCATTTTGGCTGGTTAATCCAACATGTAGGTATTTCAAAGAGAAATTTGAACAGAAATGTTTTAACAGAAAATAACAATCCTTGAGGACAACATATATAAGTAGAATAGAACTATTTTATGAATTATGAACAGAGTTAATAATGAGGGAGATGGCCCATATTGCTATCCAGAATAACATACATTAATGGGAACTATTTATTATATATCGACATTTCAACCCTTCTAGTTGTTCTTCATTGGTACTAAATAGGGAGACATCTAGCCGTAAACTGAATATCTCCTAGGTAGTTTTGTTTGATTAAATGTTTAGATTAAAATGTTCAATCAAACGCTTTTCAGTAATTGAAGGGTTTGGCAAAATAAGAGTCTATATGATTTTTTGAAATGTTACATGAGACATTAAAAATATATTGCTAAATTAGGGGATTGTGTTTTTTGCCTGGGGAACTAACATAGACGGCTATTTCATCAAATTTTCACAACAGCCATATTAATTCTGCTTTTGTTTCCAATGGAAATTATTCTTGATTATGAATAAATCATCCAGTTACACTTATTGCAACAGTGTCTTATTGAGTGCAACATTGGTTTAATAAAACAAGTAACAAAATAATTACAATATTTTAGAAAAAGTTTTATAAGGTTGATAAGATATATACACATAATGTATGTTTACCATAATTTTTCTCCAAATATATGGATATAAATGTAAATAAAATCAAACTAAGACCACTATTGGAACAAAAAAATTAATAATTTCTTGTACCTCATCAAGTGGAAAAAAATAAAGTTATTGTGGGGAATGATTTGTGAAAATCTTCATGCTGGCTGTTAAAGTATGAGATGTAAGCAATAAAGAATAAGCCAAGAATATAAACAAGGAATGTACAAATTACGAATGTAACCTTCGATAAAGGCAAATGTGACATAGACCATTGTTCCAAACATAGAGTTCATGATTTCAGCGGTGCAAAGTTGCACAACAACGAGATCTGTTGGTTTTTACAGGAACTTGCATATGGAACATTTAAGAGATGCTATATAGACTATTCAGTAAAAAACCTGATTTCGCAAAAATGTAACATAGATCATTATTCGGCCG